CCATCCATCATCCATCCATCCATCATCCATCCATCATCCTTCCTTCCTTCCATCTTCTGTCTGTCCTCTGTCCATCCATCATCCATCCATCCATCATCCATCTATCCATTCATCCATCCATCATCCTTCCTTCCTTCCATCCACCCATCAGTCATCCATACTTTCATTAGTTATCTTCATTCTATCCCTCTCTCCACACCACTTATCTTTCCATTTCCCTCTTCTGGACATCCTCCATCCACTCACCCCTCCACCCATCTATCCACCCAGCCATTCATCATCTCGCCCACCCATCTCTCAGTTGATTCATCCATCTACTCATCTCACACCCATCTGTCCACTCATCCACTTATCCAGCCAGCCATTTAGCTATCCACTCATGCACCAGTCTACCTCCACTCATCCATCCCTTCATCTGCCCACCCATAATCTCTTGCATTAATTATAAGGCCACTAAATATACAATGAACTTGTGGTTCAAATGTCAATTATTGCAGTTCGGGCCATTTCTGTGCCATGGGCCTTGTAGGGAAAGATACATTCCCAAGGCATAGAGCTTCCAAAATAGAAATGCTAAGAAATTAAGTATGATGCATGGCAGAATTGATTTGGGGACAGCTACTAGAATGCTGTGTTAAGAAGGGTTCTGAGACCGAATCTAGTTTAATGGGTAAGATTGTGTATTTATTGGGTTACAGGTTCAAATGCTATAACAAAGGACAAGATAGCAGTGACTTAAATAAAATAGCGGTTCATTTCCCCCTCACTTAACAGTCCAGGTGTAAGTAGAGGTAAAACTCCAAGTCTCCAAGGTGTCAGGGACCTGGACTCTTTCAATCTTGTTTGCTGCCTTTTTCAATGTGAAACTTCCATTTGATGGTTCAAAATGGCAATTCCTGCTCTGACCCATGCCATGGGCATTCCAGCCAGTGGGAAGTGGGAAGGGGAGGTGGGTGGCAGATCCCTTCCCTTTGAGGGCATGGTCTAGAAGCAGACTTTATCACCTCTGGGATGAGTGTCTCATTGGCAAGAACTTGGCCATCTCCAGCTGCAAGGGAGCCTGGGAATTACAGGGTCCGGATGAGTGTGGACTCTGCTAACACCTGTGGGCTGCAGGCTTGGTTACAAAAGGAAACACGACAGAATGGCTCTGGGGGACAAATCTCAGATAGTGCAGTGGCTGATTTGTGATATCTATGCAGCATAGGCATAGGAAGTTACAGTCTGAATGAAATTTTGTTTTTGCCATCCCTCGGTGGGGGGAGATGGTCTGTGTTTCGGACCCACCATGCCTCTCTGACAAGCCCCAGTCACGGCGAAGCTGCAGAAGTTTCTACCCATTCTGCGCTTCAGTCTGGTCATTTTGTAAATGAGAAGTTTGAGTTCACATTTCCAAGGTCACACCGTAAGTGACCAGAAAAAAAAAAAAAGAAAGAAAAGAAAAACAAATCCCATGTCCTCACTCCCTGTCCCAGTGAGGCGGGAACAAAATCTGGGCTTCTCAGACTTGGACTGGCTCTGATTTCAACACTTCCCCCTCACTATTTTACATCTGGGGAAACTGAGGCGCGGAGCAGGGGAAGGAATTACCCGAGGGCATTCAGAAATTCTGGTCTCCAGCTATCTGGGCCAGTGTTTTCTCCCATGTAACTCGGTGCCTTTCTGTCCTCAGTGATGTTTCAGTCAGGACCCAGCAGCGAGCCCTGGGCTGTTGTTTGCCCAAATTATTGGCAAATATTTTTTTTCTCTGGAGCACCAGCCTTTATTTTTCCATACATGTTGAACTCAAAGAGAAGTCAGAAGCAGAGTCCTCGTTCTCAGCCAGTATAATTCCATTTCTGAGTCTTGTCCAACTAGGGCAGGGTTTCTCAACCATGCACTATTGACATTTGGGACTGGGTCATCCTCTGCAGGGATGGGGGGGCATCCTATGCACGGCAGGGTGGTCAGCAGTTCCCCTGGCCTCCACCCACCGGATAGCAGTCGCACCCCACTCCCCAGTTGTGACAGCCAAAAAACATCTCCAGAGATTGCCCAGTGTCCCCAGGCTCCAGACCTTCCCCAGGAGCAGAATCGCCCCTCAGTGAGAACCACCGAACTTGGGAGACACTTGTGACCTTGATGTGGTTTGGTCCCTAAGAGCAACATAAATGTTACAACCAAGATCTGAACCTGGCCTCCGACAGTGCTGGCTTCAAAAGCCTGGCCCTGCCACTTTCTGAGTGTGTAGCTCTGGATAAAGGACTGAACCCATGCCTCAGTTTCCCCATCTGTGGAGTGGAGCCCCGTTAGAGGACGCTGTGTCTGAGCCCGGGAGCTGATGTGGTCACTGTTGTCCCTGTGTGGCCACAGGCATCACTGCCATGGCGTGGAGCCTGGAGGAGAGGCTGCTGGTTGTTGGCACCCAGGACGGCTTTGTTGCTGTGTGGGACATGGAAGAGCAGCAGGTGATCCACATTCTAACTGGACACACAGGTGAGGCTTGGGAAGCTGACTTCTTCAACTTAGTCATCAAGATAAGTAATATTTCGGGTCGCCTGGGTGGCTCAGTCAGTTGAGCATCTCACTTTGGCTCCGGGGGTGATCTCGGGGTCCTGGGATCGAGCCCCAAGTCCATCCGGCTCCATGCTCAGCGGGGAGTCTGCTTCTCCCTCTCCCTCTGTCCATCCCCCACTCCTGCGCTCTCTCTCTCTATCAGATAAATAAATAAAATATTCTTTAAAAAAAGATAAATAATATTTCAATGCAATATTTTAAAAAAATCAAAATTAATGCAAAAAAAATCCACCATGAATAAATAGCAAGCTGTCTTAAAGACAGGATCAGCGATAGTGCCGTGCCAAGCCATATGGAAGCCAGAGGCAGCAGGGAAACTCAATGATTTGGCACCTCCTTAAATTTGGCACCCGAGATGAGTGCCTCACTCGCCTTACCTTAATCCTGGCCCAAGTCAGACTCAAGCATTTGGGAAGGCAAAATATAGTTACAGATTGTAATGAGGACAACAGGGTGTCATCAGCAACAGTAACCCAAGTGACCCACTTAGGGCAGGCAGGTGTAAGGCATTTCTTCCAGTGGGGACGATTCAGCCAAGACACCAGGGGTGTGGAGAAAGAGGTGGGCAGAGAGCAGCGGGGTAGAAAGAGGAAGAGCATCCCAGGAATGGGGAACAGTCGGTGCAAAGGCCCTGACAGAGGGAAGGAGGCTGGCATGTTTCCAGAAACAGCAAGGAAGCCATGAGGCTGGAGCTTGAGACATTGTATCAAATGAAAGAAGCCGACATCATGTATATGATTCATTTATACAAAATGTCCAGAACAGGCAGATCCAGAGAGACACAGAACAGATTAGCAGTTGCTAGCTGGGGAGGGAGGAAGGGAAAGTGATTGCTCATTGGGACAGTGTTTCCTTTTGGGGTGATGGAAATGTTCTGGAATCAGATAGAGGTGATGGTTGCACAACACTGTGAATTATTATATCACTGAATTGCACACCTCCAAATGGTTTACACGATAAGGAGAGAAAGGGGAGGGAATGCCAGGTTTTGAAGATATTCTAAATTTAGACCGTGGCGATGGTTGCATAGCTCTTGACCAGACAAAGACCGATGAATTGTACCACTGTCTGTGGAATGGGTGAATTTTATGCTTGTGCGTTATATCACAATAAAGGTATTATTTTAAGATTTTATTTATTTATTTGAGAAAGAGGGGGAGCGAGAGAGAAAGAGAGAGAGCACAAGCAGGGGGGAGACAGAGGGAGAAGCAGACTCCCCACTGAGCAGGGAGCCCAATGCGGGACTCGATCCCAGGACCCTGGGATCATGAGGTGAGCCGAAGGCAGACCTTTAACATACTGAGCCACCCAGATGCCCCTCAGTAAAGGCATTAAAAATATTATTTCATCGTGAACCAAAAATGTATACTATTTCCTATTTTTTCTCAACATTTTGCCATAAACATTCTTTTTTTTTCATTGAATCTTTTTTTAAACAACTTTATTGAGTTGTAATTGACATAGCATTCCTTCCATTTTAAGCGTAGGATGCAACAGTTTTTGGTAGATTTGCTGAGTTGTACAACCATCACCATAATCATAGAACTTTCCATCACCCCAAAGGAGTTGTCTTTGCACTGCCTGCCCACTTTGTAGTACATCTCCACCCCTACCTACCCCCAGCCCCATGGCAGGCACCGATGTGCTTCCTGGTTCTATCAACTCACCTTTTCTGGACATTTCATGCAAATGGAATTGCACACTATGTGATCTTTTGGTACACCGCCTGATGTGTGTGATGCTTGTCCCAACCATTGCATGAAGCAATAGTTTGTCCTCTGCATTTTGCCGAGTCCATCCATTGTATGGAAGGGACAGCCTGTGTTTATCAATTGATCACATCGGTTGAAGGACATTTACATGGTTTCCAATTTGAGGCTGGTATGAGTCACGCTGCTATGATCCATCAAATGTCATATTTATCATGTGCTGAAATGCAGCAAAAATAGTTCATTCTTCTCAACAGATCATGTTCCAGAAGGTATTAAATGATTTTTTTGTAATTTATTTTATTCCATTTATTTTTTTTTTTAATTTTTGCTATTTTAGGCTACTTCTAGTTATCTGCTATCGTGGATAACACCGCGACGAATCTCTTTTTACTCTCATTGACATTTTTTCCTTCTGTTGAATATTTCCAGGGAGTAGGAGTCTTGAATTGGAGGATGTGAGCATTTCTATGGGTTTTGAGCAGTGGCATCTTATTGCTTTCCACATAGGCTGTATGTATGTAACAGAATAACCCCCCTCCCCAACCCCAAAGCTGCAAGCATCAGATGTTCTCAGCTTCTTTTTTTTTTTTTCTTCCAAGGGCTGGGAGTGAGGTGGGTCCTGAGAGAGTCTGTCAAATAAGATTCCATTCATTTTATTATCATCGGGATGGCTATTTTCCTATAGGTCTATTCAATATTTGTATTTTTGTGTGCGTGAGCTGTCTTAAGACCTGAACCCATTTACCAATGGACCTTGATTCATTTTTGAAAAAGTCATCAAACTTTGTAATTAGGAAATCTCAGTAATCAGTTTATTGGCAAAACGGAGAGCATTAGAGACATATGTTCTAAGGAAAGTGAAAGTTTCCCATCACATGCTGGTGAGCTGGAGATCATTTATCCTGGCTTGTGAGAGCTGATGGTGAAGTTTTCAGGAATGTGGTGAGACAGGTATCAAACACAACCATTATTTTTTAATTTTTTTAAAGATTTTATTTATTTATTTGAGAGAAAGAGAGAGAGAGAGAAGGGGGACAAGCAGACTCCGTGCAGAGAGCAGAGCCCCATACAGGGCTCGATTCTGCAACCCTGAGATCATGACCTGAGCCAAAATCAAGAGTTAGCTTGAGCAAGCAACCGAGCCACCCCGGCACCCCAAACAAGCCATTATAAAATATTCAATTATAGAAGCTTGCAGTTAAATCAATTCCATTAAAATAAGGTAATAAATACTCAAAACTCAGCATTTTCTTTCTTTCTTTTTTTTTAAGAGTTAACATTGTAACACCAGGTCCTTACATTTTTCCCTTCTGTGATAACTTTGAGACAAATCCTCTGGCTCTCCTCCTTCATGAACTCACTCTCTCCTGCATACTTCTCTTTCACAGCCTACCCACTTTATTTTTTTTTTAAGTTTTTATTTATTTATTTGAGAGAGAGAGAGAGCATGAGATGGGGGAGGGTCAGAGGGAGAAGCAGACTCCCCACTGAGCAGGGAGCCCGAAGTGGGACTCGATCCCAGGACTCCAGGTTCATGACCTGAGCCGAAGACAATCGCTTAACCAACTGAGCCACCTAGGCGCCCAAAACTCAGCACTTTCTAAGTATTGTACCACACTCTATTACCTATGCCCCTGGCTGCCGTACCCCTGTGGTGGAAATGGGGCGCTTGCTACTGGTTTCTCTTTAAGACCGTACATTTAGTGACATCATGTTAGTGGCTTGGAATCAACCAGGGATGGGAATATTTACACAAAGGAAATTGGTAAATGCCACAAATCAGGGCTTTCCCCAATCTCCTTGGAGAGCCCATTGTGAAGCATTTACTAGTCCCTTTCCCCAAGGGGTGTTTGGATATACATAAATATGTGTGGTTTTATATAAAGTCACATAAGCTTTTGCTTGTATAACCTGTTTCTTTTTTCAGTTAACATCGCATATTTTGCCTCTTTCCATATTTATGTATGTGTCTCTAATTCACTTTAACTGTAGCATAGTGTTCCATGTATGGGGATATTTTGCAACGTATTACTATGTATACAAATTTTGGGTTGAAAAATATCCGAATTGCAACAAATAAAAATTTCCCACTCCTCCTGTCATTTAAATTATAAAGAAATAAAACTCCCTTTAGTCTCTCCCATCCATCAGTCTCCATGGAAGTGACCAGGACTCACAGTTTGTTATATGCCATAAGCAATTTTTTTCTAGACTTATGCAGACATAGCTCTGTATAAGCTCATGTACTTTGAGTTTGTGTCAAAAGCAGATGGTGCTATTTTATACACTAGACTGTAACTTGCTTTTTTCACAATATATTGTAACAATACTTTGTAGTGGCTGAGAGCCTGGGTTCTGGGCTGGATTCCTGGTTCCACTACTTATTAACCATGTGGTTTTGGATAAGTTACAGTACTCAGCTGTGCTTCTGTTTCCATATCTATACAATGGGATAATAATAGTACCTCATAGAATTTTTATAAGATTAAAGGAGTTTAATGCACGTAAAGTACTAACAACTATACATGTTACATAGAAAGCCCCCAGTAAGTATTGGCTGTTGTAATAATTTATTACGGTTAGGTGTATATATAGATCTATCTCATTATTTTTAATGGCTGCATAACATTCTTTATAAGAATGCACCTTATTACTTAACAACTTCCTTTTCATAAATAGGTTGTTTGCAATTTTATTTTTATAAGACAACACTGCAACCATCATCCATATCTTTATACACCTACACTGTTACTTCAGCAAGACACATTCCTAGAAGTGGAATCTCTGAGTCAAATTGTATGCACATTTTTCCTTTTCCCCTCTTTTTTTTCTTTCTTTAAATTTTTTTATTGTTATATTAATCACCGTACATTACATCATTAGTTTTTGATGCATGTTCCATGAGTCATTGTTTGTGCATAACACCCAGTGCTCCACGCAGAATGTGCCCTCTTTAATACCCATCACCAGGCTAACCCATCCCCCCACCCCCCTCCCCTCTAGAACCCTCAGTTTGTTTCTCAGAGTCCATCGTCTCTCATGGTTCGTCCCCCCCTCCGATTTACTCCCCTTCATTCTTCCCCTCCTGCTATCTTCTTTTTTTCATTTAAAAAAATTTTTTTTAAACATATGTTGCATTATTTGTTTCAGAGGTACAGATCTGTGATTCAACAGTCTTGCACGATTCACAGCGCTCACCATAGCACATACCCTCCCCATTGTCTATCACCTAACCACCCATCCCTCCCACCCCCCACCACTCCAGCAACCCTCGGTTTGTTTCCTGAGATTAAGAATTCCTCATATCAGTGAGGTCATAGGATACATGTCTTTCTCTGATTGACTTACTTCACTCAGCATAACTCCTTTTCCCCTCTTTTTCTGAGCATTTTATTTTGAAATAATTCTAGACTCACAAAAAGTTGCTAAAATAGTGCAGAGAAGTCCCTCATACCCTGTATCCACTTTCCCAGAATGGCAACATCTTATATAACTATAGCGTATTAACAAAACCAAGAGACTACACATTTTAACTTTTGGTAAGTGTTACCAAATTGCCCTTTACAAATTTATATCAATTTATACTTCCATCAGCAAAGTAGGAAAGTAATTTATTTCTTGTATCTTTGTCAGTAGTACAGTGATCAATCTTTAAAATTTTTGCCAGGGGCGCCTGGGTGGCTCAGTAGGTTAAATGTCCGACACTTGATTTCAGCTCAGGTCATGATCTCAGGGTCATGTGATTGAGCCCGGCATAGGGCTCCATGCTGAGCATGGAGCCTGCTTGAGACTCTTTCTCTCTCCCTTTGCCCCTCCCCCTCAACTCGTGTATGCACATATGCACGTGCTTTCTCTCTCCCCAAAAAATTGCGAATATTTTGCGTAACAATGATATATTGGTATTTCATCTTGCGTTTTTGTGATTACTAGTGAGGTTGCACATCATTTTCTAATGCTTATTGTCTACAAGTACTATTTCTGTAAATTTCCTGTCTATATTCTTTGTCCAGTTTCTGAGGAGGTTGTTTGCATTTTCCCTGATTATTTGTAAGAACTTTTTGTTTATTAAGGAAAGTCTCCATTATCTGTTATATATTACAAATATTTTCTCTTAATCTGTCATATGACTTTCAACTATATTTTATCCTCCTGAAGTTTTGCATTTTTATGTAATCCAATTGATCAATTTTTCCTCTTTCTGTCTTCCAAATTTCATGTTTTGCTTGGAAAATATCTCTCCAAGATTGTAAAATTTTCTCTATAACCTTACCTTGTTTTTACATGTTTATTGATTTTAAACACTCCCTGGATAATGCTGAACTTTTATAAATTGCAATGATCTCTGTTTATTACATATTCACATCTGGGCAATTGATTTAATCATAACCAGTTACACTCTTAATTGAGCTTTGCCGCATTCCATTCTTTGTACTTTGGTTATGTTTGAATCCATCATCTTTTCCAAACCAACAGGCATTTTGGTAGTTGGAAAGTCAAAATGTTTTCAGCTAATATATTCTCCCTGACTCTGGTCTGCTGCAGGAGAGGTGAGGTATGTGAAAGTGTTTGCCAAAGGGACGCTCGCTCTCTCTGCCTCAAAGGACCACACACTGCGCTTGTGGGATTTACTCTCTGGGCAGGAGAAATTCACCATTTGGGACAGAGGCTCAAAAGATCGCACTGAGATCTACAGTCTTCACATGGATGAAGCAAAGAAAGTTGTGTATTTAGCATCTGGCTCAAAGGTAACAAACACCTGCCCTGTTTGCAAAGGAAAGCTATGACCAGAGCAATGCAAGACAGCATATGCTGTTTCTAGGAGATGGGGCTCCCCAATAGGGGGTGGGCATAAACAGGGGTGCACAACCACTGGATAGGATACTATAAGGAGTTTCAAACTTCACAGTTGGATTAGATGATCTTGATAGTTCTTTCTGACCCTAAGAGTTGAGACTTTTCATCTTTTTTCTTTTTTTTTTTTTTTAAGATATATTTATTGGGGCACCTGGGTGGCTCAGTTGGTTAAGCCTCTGACTCTTGATTTCTGCTCAGGTCATGATCTCAAGGTCGTGAGATCAAGCCCCATGTTTGGCTCCAAGCTCAATGGGGAGTCTGCTTGAGATTCTCTCTCTCCTTCTCCCTCTCCCCCTCTCCCCACGCTCTCTCACTCTCTCTCTCGCAAAATAATAAATAAACAAATTTATTAGTGGGGAGGGGCAGAGGAAAGAAGCTTCAAGCAGACTCCCCACTCAGCAGGGAGCCCGACACGGGGCTCGATCTCATGACTCATGAGATCATGACCTGAGCGGAAACCAAGAGTCGGAGGCTTAACTGATGGAGCCACCCAGACACCCCAAATCTTTTTTAATTCGGTCATTTTAGTGCTATATGCCTTATATATGCCTTACTTGCATCCCACAAACCTTGCTATGTCATATTATCATTTACCTTCAGTTTAAAACACTTTCAGATTTCCCTTTTGATTTGCTCTTTGGTCCATGGGCTATTTAGAAGTGTGCTATTCATTCCCAGATATTTGAAAGGTTCCCAGGTAGCTTACCTTTTTCTTTCCTAACTTAATTTCATTTGTATGATGAATCCTTTCAAGTGTATTGAGACTCATTTTAGGGTCTCTCTTGGTAAATGTTCCACATACATCTGAAAACAATCTGTATTCTGCTGTGTTATTCCTCTATGTCAGTTATAACCCTGTAATCTGATTGTGTGATGAATAGAGACGCAGTAGAACGGTGGGTGAAAGCTTAGGAACTAAAGGGGTGGGGAAAAAATCTGTACCTAACTCCCAGTTGACTTCTTTGCAAGCTGAGTGATCTTGATCACATCACCGTACCTCTCTGCCTCCATTCTTCGTCTACCTGATGAGATAATGACTAAAACACCTGGCATAGTGCTTGGTGCATAATAAGCACCAAATACTTAATAACTATTAATTATTATATTTTATTAGTAACGGGCAGATGTTAACATAAATGATATTGGTAGCTTATAAATTGTGCTGTCCAATATGGGGGTCACCAGCCAGATGTGGCTACTGAGCACTTGAAATGTGCCTATTCTGAATTGAGATGTGCCGTAAGTACAAAACACACTGGCTTTCAAAGCCTTAGTACCATAGAAATAATGTAAAAGATTTCAGTAGTGATTTGATATTGATTATATGTTGCAATGGTAACAATTGGACATAGGGCTAAACCAAATATATTATTTGAATCGATTTCACTTGTTTCTTCTTACTTTTTTTTTTAAAGGGATGAATACAAAATTTGAAGTCATGCAGCTTTACATTATACTGTTATTGACAGTGCAGGCTTAAATATTAGGGAGGTGTTAGCTGATTTCAAAACTGATTAAAGAAATCATTTTGTTTATCAGCAGAAGTTCAGAAAACAGAGTAAAGAAATAGGAAATAATAGGGGTGCCTGGGTGGCTTATTGGGTTGAGTGTCCGACTCTTGGTTTCGGTTCAGGTCTCATGATCTCAGGGTTGTGAGATCCAGGCCGGCTTTGGGCTCTGCGCTCAGTGGGGAGTCTGCTTGGATTCTCTTCCTCAGCCCCTCCCCACACTCAGACACTCTCTCTTGCTCTCTCTTTCTCTCTAAAATAAATAAATCTTGGGGTGCCTGGGTGGCTCAGTCATTAAGCGTCTGCCTTCAGCTCAGGTCATGATCCCAGGGTCCTGGGATCGAGCCCTGCATCAGGCTCCCTGCCCCGCAGGAGGCCTGCTTCTCCCTCTCCCACTCCCCCTGCTTGTGTTCCCTCTCTCGCTGCGTCTCTCTGTCAAATAAATAAATAAAATCTTTAAAATAAATCTTAAAAAAAAAAAGAAATAGGGGCGCCTGGGTGGCTCAGTCGGTTGGGCATCTGCCTTCAGCTCAGGTCCTGATTCCAGGGTCCTGGGATCGAGCCCTGTGTGGGGCTCCTTGCTCAGCGGGGAGCCTGCTTCTCCCTCTGCCTACCACTCCCCCTGCTTGTGCTCTGTCTCTCTCTCTGTCAAATAAATAAATAAAATCTGTTTTAAAAAAGCTTTAAAAAAAAGAGAGATAAGAGATAATAATAGTTAATCCCAAAGACAACCACTGTTTTACATTCACATGAGTTTGTTTTCTGTGGTGTGTGGGTACGCACGTACAAGTGCATGCGTGTGTAAATATAACACAAAATGGGGATAAAACCACATAGAAATCTAGCTGTGCAGCTTTATAATCTATTTTTATTTGCCCATAACCTCAAACATTCTTCAGAATCAGCAGTTTTAGTGATTTCGTGAGATGTCCTTGCACTGACCCCACTACAGTTTTTTTTTTT